AATAATTGACTGCTTAGAGTAATTCAGAAGACAAAAGCAAAAAATTATAATGACTTTTCAGAATGTTAGAATCTATTTGTTAACATATTTTGCAGAATAAATTTCAACTAATTCAGCAGATTTAACATATAGCCTATGTGAATGAAGCTTGAAGGTTTGCTGGTTCTTACTTTGCAGGCAAAATAAAAATATATAAAATTCATTTGTGAGGAGTTGTTATAAAAATATAACTTCGTCTAGAATTTCTTTCAGAACAAATAAAAAGCCTATCTTAGTACCAGCATAGGATTTGTTGTTGATTTAAGGTGGTAAAATAGTTGAAGGTTTTCTGTCTTGTAAATTTTTCATAAAGATGGAAAGAATACTCCCACCCAAGCGAATGATTGCAAGATACTGAGAATATGTTCTTTTTCATTTCTGTAATTCCAATAATGTAGTGATCTGCACATATTTAGTAAATGCATGTTAAAATTTAAGTTAATATTTTTTAGTCCTCTCAGATTTTGGCACAGTTTTTACATGTAGTAGATTATCAAAATTATTTGCATTTAATAAATAAAACTTTAAAATTACAATATTCATCAACATTTAGCATTCATGATCATTGGTTGTATTGGGACATATATAGGTTTCATCCTGGTTTTCTTTAAGATCAAGACAACTGGCATTACATTTACAGTAGAACAGATACATTGCTCTTTTCTAGTAAACCAAATATGCTATTTTTATCTTAGTATTGTTATAAACCATATTCAGTGAATATAAACCATATTCAATGTTTATAACTTAGTATACATCTTCATTCCCAATTAAAATAAAATTAAATTTTCATTATATTGTTTTTATGTATGTGAATACTACAGCACTATATTTTCCAGATTCTAAAATTTATAGTCAATGATAACTCAGTAGAGCAAATTATGCTTTAGATATGCTTCAGAAGTAAGCTTCTATAAATTAAACTTAAATTTTAGGTTTTGATGTATTTCATCCATAATAAGGTTG